AGAAGCTCCTTTCAATAAATTACAGCTGCAAGGAGTATTAATTAATGAAGATGAACAAAAGTTTATAAACAAGTAAGAATTTTGCCTGCTCCATTAAGTTTCGAACCGCTAAGGCTGGCCTGGGCAAGCCATGAGCAGAAGTTGCACTTTGTACTCCCCCAGATATTGGGGTTCTGAAAAGACCAGCCCTTGTACCTCCCCCAGTCGTGCTTCCATGTGACAGCACGAGAGTCGGTGGCTTCATATTTGACGTGCTTTCTATTTTCTTTTCGGCACTTTGGTTGGTATCTGTATTACCCTTCAGAACATGAGAGAGGCCATCACAACAAAGCCGAAGTGCCATTTGAAAAATCCATTGATGGACTATATCCAGAAAGAAATTCTAATTTACCATGATGAGCATTGCATAAGAATAAAAACATTTAGGGTCCGTTTGATTGCAAGAATGGAATTTGGGTGAAAAGAAAATGAATTACAGGGAATTGAATAGCTTAAAATTGTTTTCCTGAGAATTGTCAATTAATTATATTTGATTGGTATAATTTTTCACATGAAAAATGTTGAAATTTTGAATCTTTTGATATTCGTTTGGCTTTGTTTTTATGGAAATTGTCCATAGGGAATTTTTTTTTTACAATTGTCCATAGAATTTGTTTTCATTCCCTTTTCATGGCAAATTTTGGTTATCAAACAACACTTTTTTGGGAAGATGGAATTTTATTTCCAATTTCCATGGAAAATCCTCCAAATCAAACAGGCCCTTATGCTCCATAAACAGAAGCATAGAATAGCTGCCAGCATAAAACAGACTCTCTTAATATCTGCATTTACGTTAAGTGAGAGAAACAAACTGTTTTTGACACTTATGACTAATAGGGTCGTATTTTATGTTTTGCAGCTTGGAATTTATATCTTCAAACAGGAAAATTATGAAAATTGAATCCCAGTTTCAATCACATCATTTTTAGTTCCAAATCGAAGGCCCCAATCCCATGCAGACACATTATAATCATAAATTTTCTAACAGATTATATAAGACTAAAAAGTGATAAATTATTTTCTTAAAAAATTAAGCAAACAGGATTAGATAATGTTTTGTATTTACAAACAAATATAAACATAAGTCAAGAAGCGTGCTTCGCTCCATTAGTACCAATACTACAAGTTTCCCCACAAAATTCCGGCATGGAAATAAGTAAAATTGCATCTATCCCAATCCAAGTAACAGAAATTAAACACTAAAAAGAAAAAAGCAAGAACAATTGTTGATTTTTTTGTCATACCTGAGATGACAATAGAGTCTCTTCAGAAACTAAACTAAATCCACCATTATGATTATTCAAAAGGAAGTCTTCTTCTGCACCGCCATCCTCAGATATTTCACGTGCCAGCGCCAGAACTTGAGACCCTCTAACTAACGACGTCGTTTTATGAAAACCCAGAACGATTCGTACACGCCCACGATGCTTATTGCTTGGTGAAGAATTCTGTAGAAATTTGGGCATACGGACGGAGCTCAGAAGAGCTTCCGTGGAGGGATACGCACAAAAAGAAGCCATTTATTCAATGTTTGTGTTTGCATAAACTCTATGAAGAATTTGAAGTAATTTTTGTGTAAGGAACAATTTTTTTTTTAACCTTTTTCGAGGAAAATTGTGTAAGGGTTTTGCGAGGAGAGGTTTTTGCTTCGTGGGGATTAAGGTTTTCTGTAGGTAACGGACTCTGGAGTCGGTTTATTTAGTTGAAATTAACTGGGCTCAACTCATTCCTGCCCAGATTATATCGGCCTTTTAGGCCCTGTAATGCTGTTAATGATTGTCATTAGTTAGGATCATGATAATGTGTTGATTTGGAATAACTTAAAAGTTGCTAAAAATTCAAATTAAAATTTAATAATACATTTCATTGGATCCATAAATTTTTTAATGACATATTTAATAAACTTTTATCAAAATTTTCATCAAAAACTTTATCAAATAACCCCGTATGTAAATAAATTATTATGACTAACGTAATAACTAATCAATTCAAGATTAAAAAATGGTAAATTGACTCCACAACTTATTGAATAAAATAACAAGGAAAAGCAAGCTCTTTAAAGTAAAGAAATTTGTATTTTAGTTTTTAATTTATTTTTCGAATAACTAACCCATCTTTCATTCTAACATTTCATTATAATTAAACAATTTATTTTCAATAGCGAAAAATCGTTGGAATTCATAAATTGAGGTGTATCTTTCCATTAGTGTAGGTAGCAATATCCTATGTTTG